CTGAACCTCACTGGATATTATTTAATGCTTACAGCCATGTGAATGTGTAAATATTTCTCAAAGTGTGAGAACAATTCTACTACTATTTTCTAAGAATGGAACCTTCTTCACATAAATTCGGTGTAACGGTTGTCTAAAACTCTATTTTTTTTAATACAGTCATTAATATTTAAATTGGTAAATTATATATAGTTCTTATCTTTCTTTTAGATCTTTAATAACTCTTTTTAACAAATAAAAGTTGTGAATTTAATAAGTTTCACACACGAAATTAATTCAATAATAAATAACATATTTTAAACAAAATAAATATTCTTATATTCTATCTTATTAATAACTAGACTTCTTATTTATTAGATAATTTTTTTTATATTTTTAAATCAATTCATAAATTATTAGAAGAACTAATATGGTGTACTAATAATGTAAATCTCTTAGAATCAAATTTTATTTTCATGGATAAAGAAATAAAGAAGAATTTCTAAAATGATATAACGTTAACGTTACTTTTTTTTATTTTTATGATAAATGTCAAATAGTATTTTGTCCACATTCTTCTTTGTACTTATAGGGCCTTTGTTAGGTCATCTCATAAAATCGTAATTAAGTTGTGAAGCATAGTGTAAGATGAAAAGGAAAATTATAAGACGAAAGCTGCAATAACCAAGTGTCAACCTTAGGTAACGAATGTTGAGAGGATTGTGGCAAAATGACGAAATTGAGAGCTCCATAGTAGTGGGGACATTAATGAAATGGCAAGTGTATGAAACCTTGTACTACTGCACTGCTCTTCATATTTAGTTATGTAAATTAATTTTGAAACATGACATGCTATGGCAGTGTCATGTGAAAAGTATATGAAACATTTTGGATATTTAGGTTAAGGATGAAGTAGCTCAACGGGATTTGTCGGGAACCACGCAGTCTACTTCGGGGGTTTAATGAGAGACAAGTGACTCAAACAGCAAGACTTACGAACTCAACTCAGCCAACCAAACCTCACAATCTCATCAATCCTTAAGGATAAGAAATAGGAAACGAAAAAGATAACTCATCCATCATTTCTTTTTCTTAAGGACAAACCCAACATATCTCTTTTACACAACATATTTTATTTCGTTTAACTTTTTTTAATAAATAAATAAATATATTAATTGGACAAAAATGTAGTTTTAATAAAACAGATGTTAATTTATGTTTAGATACGTACATTTTTTTAACTTTTAAAAGTGATTTTAATATGTGATATGTAACATTAAGTATCTCTTCTTAAAAAAAATTATATATATAAATTCAAATAATTATCTTATATAAAAAATATTTAATTTAAATATATTTTTAGTCTTTTAAATATCACAATGAAATGATTTTAATCTCTTAAATTTTAATTAAATAATTTTAATCATATAATTTTTAATCTATTTAAATTACATATATTATTACTATGTAGACCCACTAGAAAACATTGAATACTATTTGTATGAAAATTTATTTTATTTCTCATTACCTGCTCAAATATTTTTTTCTTCCCTATCCTCATATTTATCCCAGTAGTATTTTTTCTCTATTTTTGTTTTTGGACCAAATACGAGGATTAATTTGATTGGGTCAGTTGAGTTCGTCTTGTTGTTTGGGCCATTTCCAATTCGGGCCCACAATTTCCAGAGTGACCCATACCACAATTAAACCCCGGAATTGACCGCTAACTTATGACAAAAGTATAATCACTTCTACTTCTGATCCATAACAAATAAGACAGTGTAAATGCAGACAATCCCAATCATGAAAGAAAAAAAATATTATTATTATAATAAATAAAAAAAAGGAAATAAGATACTATCGTGAAAAGGGAAAAAAAAAAAAAAAACAGTGAGATCATATAAAATAAATATGAAAATTTTTTTTTTTTTTTTTTCCTGAAGTATCCACGGCTGATAGCAGTAACTAATCTCCTTGTTACGTTGGAGGCACTTCCCAGATTTAGTGTGGCTGCATACACAATCAGGATTCGAACCCTTGATTATTTGAGCATGGATCAACCTCTATCACTAAACCACACCCTTGATTATTTGAGCATGGATCAACCTCTATCACTAAACCACACGCATGGAGTTATATAATGATACTTCAACCGCTGCGGAAGTATTCTGGATTCATCCCTTTCAGCCAAAAAAACAAAAGTATTCTTCGCTTCTTTGTTTAAAGTGGCAAAATAACCATCATCACTCCTTTTGAGAATAGATACAGAATCCTTTGCTTTTAATTCTTCCATGACGCTTATATAAGTACGTTTAATTCAAATTTAAAATTACATTAGAATTTTCAATACGGACTTAACTATTTTTATTATTATTTTAACACATTTTTAAATTTTAATTTACTATGGCATATGTATGCTGTATCAAATAATGGTATTAATGAGTCAGATTTTACCGAGTCAAAATGTAATCTCTTTCGAAAAGTATATTCTTATAGTATAATATATATACAGTAGTGTACATAAAGAGGGTTAATTAAAAGAATTGAAAAAGAAAACGAAGCTAGTTTGCGTGATATTTCTCTTTTTGGTGACACATTGAATAATCCCACTGTTTGCTTTCTCTTTTTGAGGAAGAAATTAATGGACCCCAATGATCCCATTGTTTTTCTTGAATATAGAATTGCAAAGCATTCAATCAGAGTAACTAATATGGGTTTTAAGTCGTTGTCCTTCAACTAATTAGCATATCATAACTTTAATAATGGTGATTTAACTATTTCGTGCAGGAAACTTCATAGGTCATTTCACGTTCTTGTCTGTTTAAGTTATTTACGCATTATAGACACATGAAGCATGCTTAGGAAGTTGAATAGAGAAATTAAAAATTATAAGTGGAACTATTTATCTTATCTGTTTGTGTTGTGTGGGATACTATTGGATAACTTAGTGAACTATTATTCTATTAACTAAGTTCAATGATAAACTTAATTAGTGTCTTTCACTCCAAGCATCACTCCGCTCACTTTATCTTTCTGTCATTATCAATTAGCTTCTAATTACACTGTTGACGCAATCCATTAATTCTCCTCCTTTATTTAGCTAAACTTAATACGTACTGTATGAACACTCAACTACTCTTAGTGAAGGAAAATGTAGACCTCCAATGATTTTCTAGTTTGAAGTACTTAGGAAGAGTTATTATGGAGTAACAGTAGCTAACTAAACTAAAAAAAGAAATAAGAGTTGTTTGCAATTAATAAAGCAAGAGCTAGAAAGAAAGAGAAGTCACGCCATGTGTTGAAAATAGAGGCAAAACTTGACGTTTACACGAAGATCTGGTTTGCATTGCAATTGCTATTTGCGCCCCACCTCACACATGACATGACATGAGACTATGGATTTTACAGACACAATACGGAAATCCAACAAAGAATGAAGTTTCGCCAAAAGGGTCTTCTCGCACGACGCACATACTACAAAAACTTGGAAGCTACGTCTCGTGGTCCTTTTGCTTTGCTTTGTGTTAATATCGTAAAAGGACAACTGGAATCTTGTGTTCTGTCTCTTTGGTCACTCTCTGACTCCACAATCACTATCGAATTGAGTAAAAAACAAAAGCAACCGAACCAACTAAGTAAGAAACAACACACTTACATATACATATACACAAACTTGTTATATTTAAGCTAGTGTACCAGCCATTCTAGAGCTTGTGTTGTGAGTATACAAGTACAATAACCAACATTCTTGTTATTGTGTTTTGGAATGGAGGGGTTAGGCTTAGGGGGCTTGAGTCACCTTTTTGTGACAATGTTTCTGACGGGGTTTGGTGGTGTCATAGCTCTTCCTGCAATCACCGATGTTACCATGGCTGCACTCTGCCCTGGTCAAGACCACTGCTCCCTTGCCATTTATCTCTCTGGCATTCAACAAGCTGTGAGTATATCTTTCTCTCTCTCTCTCTCTTTCATTTTCTAATTATCATAATAACTCTTTTCTTACAATCACTCTTATCTTACAACTCCACTATATAACGTTAAATTAGACTTAAATCTACATTTAAAACTAGCTTCTCAAAGAATTTGTCCGATTAAAATGGTAATTAATTTCTTTGAAAGAGGGTTACCTCCGGTCGAGGACAATTTCATCGATATGTTATGTACAGAATTGGATTAACTACATATCACCTTCGGAAGGCTTTCGGTATAAATTAAGATGAATTTGGCTTTACAAATATATGAGAGTTCCGTTTTGGAACTAAGTTCTTACAATATTATTAATTGGGATGAGATATTGTCTGTTTCAAGTTTAATTTTTCGTAATTTTACTTTTAACCATCATTTAAAAAAACGTTTTAATCATTAAAATAAATATTTACTTTATAATAAATCATTATTTCTTTTTTTATTTTATTGATGTAGAATTTATTTATATTTATTATTAATGACTATCTAGTGTTAGTTTCACTCAGCTATTTCACTTTGTATTTACTTATTATCTCAAGTGCGTCGAGCGGTTGAAAATACACGTAACAATGGATCAGCTGATGAAGTGCTTATCCTTTTCGGACCCAACAATGCTATGTGATAGTTCCCAATGTTTTAAGTTTTAACAAGACACCATAGTTAAAGTCATATAGTCTATGAAATCCTACCAATTTAGTCAACCTCAACATTAATTGGTATAAAGAGTAAACAAATTAAAGTCAAATATTTCGTTCTATTCAATTTTCAATTGTCCTTAAATCGGAAGCTTACAAGTTTTTTTAATTAGGTTAAACTTGAAATATGTATCTTTTTTTTTAATCAACACGTGCTAGTTAATTAGTAGTTACTTTGGCTTTTTAGCTGCTGTGGGCATGAATGACATCCATACTTGTGAGACGTAAATTAAAATTAGTTATGATACATAATTTCATGAGAAGCATATATATCTTAGTTTGGATGTGGTGTGTGGTGTGTGGTGTGTGGATAAATATATATCCAGTACAGTAGGCACTAGCATGTGTATTTGACGTTAGTGGTGAAGCAGGAGACGATGTCAAAAAGAAAGAGCACTAACACTACCACTAACAAAAATGTTGCAGATGGCTGGAGTGGGGTCAGTGGTGATGACGCCATTAATAGGAAACTTGTCCGACCGATATGGCAGGAAAGCATTGATCACGCTTCCTCTCACACTCTCTGTCATTCCTCACGGTATATCATTCATTCTACCATAATAACCTTTATCAAGTTCCACCGCATGCAACAGATCTTGTTTATTTATTTGTTACAGATTTAATTTTTAAAGTTTAATCTAACTTATTTAAAAGTTGCATAAGGTTTATAAATAGATCAATAAATTTAAATATTAAACATATATAAAATAAAATGTTAATTATAAATGAATATTTAATATATAATGTTATTTATTTTTAAAAACATAAAATCTCTCCGTTTTAATGAAAAAGTTAAATCACGAGTCCTAACAGACTATGTGACCTATTTTTACTCCTACCCACAATATATTAAGTAATTCATTTCACAATTCTTTTTTATTATTTCATGCTTGTAGAGCTTTTTTTTTCCCTCAAATTGTTTGACTGTTATAAGAAAGGGAGATTTGTGAGATCCAGTCCCACCTGTTTCTTTTAGTTATATGCTTTCACAAATACAGTCATCACACGAATCTGTGAGCTTTATTCAGTTTTGTCATATTTCAACATATATAATTATTAGTGGATGACTGCTTTTTATTCGGTGTATAGTTAACCACTGTTTCTAGTTGATAAGCCCATTCATTTGTCAGCAGTATTTAATGAGTTTTATTTATAATTTTTAAACAATAATAAAAATATGTTAAAAAACAATATTCTTCAAACGGTGATCAGTATTCTGGTTTTTTATTTTCCAAAAGAAAAAACTCGTCAGAATGCGCTATTGACAAATTCATGGGTGTGTTTCCTTCGTGGGAAGCCTAATCATTGAAGCATGCATGCATATTACGAACCAAACAAGAATAAAAAAGAAATCCTTAATGCCCCATTTCCGATGTTCAAAAAAGCATTTATTTGTAACATTACATAGATACCCCTATATACTGTTGATATAGATCAACCTTAATATTAACGGTTATCGATAACATAAATCTTCTGAATAATTTGAAGTGATTAAAAGTGAAATGCATAACTACATTATCAAGGTTAATTGGGTAAATATTATTTTATGATGTTGCAGTGATATTGGCATATAGCAGGGAGACGAAGTTCTTCTACGCGTACTATGGAGTGAAAACTCTTGCTGCCATGGCAGGAGAAGGGAGCTTCCAATGCTTGGCTCTTGCATATGTGGTATTAACCTATAAATTAATACACAGAGAGTAAATTCTTGTTTGGTAGTGAAATCAAATAATGATATGATATGATATAACATTAACATGTAATATAGGCAGACAAGGTTCCAGATGGGAAACGAACATCCGCATTCGGAATACTAGCTGGTGTTGGATCAGCATCATTCGTTGGTGGAACATTAGTCGCACGTTTCCTATCCACTTCTTTAACATTTCAGGTCCCATTCTCCTCTCTACTATGCTTCCATACCATTTCATTTTCCTACATCATTTTAACCATTTGTTTTTTATTATTCAGGTTGCTTCAGCCTTGTCAATGATTGGATTGGTGTACATGAGAATTTTCCTTAAGGATAGTGTGCCTGCTGGTGCCATCAAACAGCCATTATTGAAAGAGGGCGAGGAACCATGTGCTGAAGATGGTTCATGTTCATCCCAAAGGACAACAGGAACATTCAAGAAACTGCCCTCAGTGGGGGATATAATTTGTTTGCTTAAGATTAGGTACGTAAGGCATTGCATTAATTAGTGTTGCTGGCAACCTACTTAGATAAGAGTTGTTGGATCTTACATTTTTTGCAGTCCCACATTCTCGCAAGCAGCAATTGTTTCATTTTTCAATAGTCTTGCAGATGGTGGCTTGATGGCTGTATTGCTGGTAATATACTACTTTTTCTACAGAACATGGTCAAATAGTGAGATTGATATTATTTATGTTGAGTTTATGCATCAGTTCCTCATGTATTTTTGATATTATTCTCTAATCAGAATTGAAATTTCATCTATTAATTTGCATAATGAATGTTTGTGTTAAAGATAATATAGGTTATGGAGATAAAACTTCAATTTTATTTGGAGTATTCAACTTTTATCGGATACTGATATTATTGTACAGCCTAATTAATTAAATTTCATACTACATGCAGTATTATTTAAAGGCACGTTTTCAATTCAACAAGAACCAGTTTGCTGATTTGATGATGATTATGGGAATTGGAGCCACTCTGACACAAGTACGCCATGAGTTTTAGCATAGCTACTTGCCTGTTATTTTAAAGTGTTCTTTAATCAATTCAATATTTTCGGTTTCCCTAAATTCAATTGGAAAAGTTATTTGGGGTTGGCTACTTAGCTTTGTGTACTTGCAGCTATTTTTCATGCCCATTTTAGTGCCTGTTATAGGAGAGGAGAAGCTGCTCTCCACAGGGCTCTTAATTAGCTGCATAAATGTAAGTTCAAGTCTCACTCTTCCCAAAATTTCATTTATAAGTTATCACAAATGACCACAGTGAGACTAATAATGACGTTTCACAATATATATGATGCTATGCAGATCTTTATCTACAGCATATCATGGGAAGCATGGGTAATTATCTTCTAACACCTTGTCGTTTTCGCTTCTCTCTTTTAGAAACTAACAAGCCTCAAATACTGTCAAAAACCATGCAGGTTCCGTATGCTCTAGCAGGTTGCTCTGCTTTTGCAGTTTTTGTGCGCCCAAGTGTAAGTTTCTTGCTTGTATCTGTTACACTCAACCGAATTGTTTTTGTTTTTTTACTTTGAATACTATATTGATCTCTCACAACGTGGTTGGCACAGTTATGCAGCATTGCATCGAAGCAAGTCGGGCCTACTGAACAGGTATCCTGCATTTTACACATTTGCTTAATTAAGTTCTCTGAAAGTTCAGATTCTAATATTGAAAACTGATACAATATTTCTGTAGTTAAAAGTTACATTGTAGCCTTGAGTGACAACTTCGTTATACTTCATATTTGTGTATTCAAAATTTGTCTCTTCCTTTTGCTTTTAATCTAACTGACCATTCTTTGATTTAGGGAATGGTTCAAGGATGTCTTTCAGGAATTAATTCCATCGCCAACATCATTGCTCCGTTAATTTTCAGTCCACTCACAGGTATAACTTTATTAAGGTGCAAAATCTAAGGGCATATATAGTGCTACTGAATTAGAAGGAAGAAAAAAAAAACTAATAAGCTTCTCCATCCATCGTATGCAGCCTTGTTCCTGTCCGAAGAAGCACCGTTTTATTTTCCTGGCTTCAGTCTAATGTGCCTTGGGCTAGCCCTGGTAAGATGATCTTTCCATCAATATTAGATCCATCATTTAATGCGGTTAGTTATTTAGAGAACTAGAGAATTGATTCCTACGCCCAAGATTTGGATGTTTGAACACTAATAAATGGCAGTAGTAACTTGCATGCGCATTAACAAGATTTGGCATGTAGTTTCTCTAGGTTCATTTGCTGATTGCTTGAATTTTTCAAAATCATTTGTTAATTGGTTCTGCCAACTTCCTGGGTTATGCACTTTAACACATCGCAATTGTATTTCAGATGGTAGCATTTGTTCAGAGTCTAATGATCCGCGCTGATACTACTATTGCGGGTGGCAAAATTAGCAGCAACCGCTGCACGGATACTTTGGTCTAAGGTGGAGACTAGTAATTTTCTCAAACAATATACATAATCTCTTTATGCTTCGTTTTGTCTCGGCATAATTGCTGTTCGTAGCGCATATCAGACGACAAATTAGAAAGATAGCAGAAGGAATCGCACTGTAAGTTTAGATTCTGGAGTCGACATATATGCTTTGGCACTTAGAGATGTAGAACACTAAATAGCAAAATACAGAAAATAGAACGTGAAGTTGGTTCTGAAATATAATCTGGTGAATCAACTGCAGAAGCACAGATTTCTTGCCAATTATGTAGAGGAAATATGGCATATATTCAAGAACCATAGGGTGTCATCAGTTACTTAGCCATTCAAACTTTCAATATTAATCATTGTATATAAACACCCTTCCTTAGCCCTATGCTGTAACATTTCTAGCTAGTATATTTCTCCCAAGTTTCCACTGCGTAGTCATTAGTCAAGGACCTTGTAATTTTCATATTTCATGTAATGGATGGTTAATTTTCATATTATATCATTACGCAAAGAAAAGTCCCATTCACTATCTGCCGTGCATCAATTTTCCATTGTATTGAGCTTTCACCTATTTAAAAGGGCAGCAGGGACGTATAAAGGATAAAAAGGATCAACAAAAAATACAGAGCATCAACCTTTTAAGTATAGGTTATTCCATCCTTAGACATCTTTCAAGAAAGTTTACTGTGATGCAAGTTGCATGCATAAGCTCAAGCAAGTACAAGACAGATATTTTAAGTAAAAAATAAAAAATCAACCAGCAAATTTTACTGAAATGGGTTGGCGTCCTTTCTTTTTTCCCCCTCACCTGCAGCTAAGATCACACACTAGAGACCTAATTATGAGTAGGTACTAAGAAATCCTATTGTACAGTCGTGAGTCGTCTACATACACAAAAGTGTAATTACTTTGTTACTAATACCATCATCAACTCTATGAAAAATCCCGTAAAGAAAATAAAATGAATGAAAAACTAGGATGGAGGATAAATAATAATGGCTGAACTGTCAGAGAATCCTATCCAAGTGAGCAATGGTAGAAATTCAAAGGAAAAAAAAATCCTATCGATTTCACAGAACGTAGAGAAGCAAAGGAAATATTTATGCGATATCTAGTACATTATCAAATTGATTATCATACAAATGAAATGAGTACAACGCTATATATAAACATCTACTATACAACATAATCCAGTCTGACAAATTTTACTATAAAGCATGACAACCTAAAGAATATACAAGATATCTAAACTGAACTTCCATATGATCAGGTGAAAATATATGCTCCATATGCAGGCACTTCATTCATGAAATGGGGAATATGTCATCATTGTCGTTATCGTCCATATACCTGAACTTAAGATCATCCCATCCTTCTCCTTTATAATTAAAACTTGAATTCAAATAGCAATTTGTCTCCTGAAACAAGTTCAAGTGATCCACGAGCTTATGATATGCATTGCATCCACAGCACTGACGACAATGACAAAAAAAGTTAGTCAGAGTCTGGTTTTAAAGTTCAACCAGGGGGGAGATGGAATTGTACACACCACGTATATTACATGATTATGTAACAATATGATAAAAACTCATATGCACATAAGTTATTTAAGCAAATAAAATAGTGTCAAAAATATTAAATTAAAATATTTAAAGTTATAACATTATCGTTCCCAAAAATAAACATTACCGATTTTTAGTATTAAACAAACAAGTCTCCTCTAATACATGGAAGTCTCATATCTGATAAGAGATTATGATAACTAAAAACCATTTGATCAGATAGCCTATCATAGACTTTTCATTCTATGACCGTCTAACATAACAGAATAAAAAAAGGCGAATAAACCATCAATTTAGTCCTTATATTATTTCTCACTCTCCTAATTATTCCTTAAATAAAATTATATAAATAATCCCTAAAGTATTAGAAATCATGCTACATAGTCCCTAACGTATTGAAAAATCCTTCACATTGGTGCCTCAACATAAGTAAAATATGTCATAGGTGGGACTAAATTGATAGATTTTCAATACTTTAAGGACTAGTTATATAATTTCATTACTTTAAGGATCAAATTGATGGTTTACTCAATAAAAGGCAGTATTTTAAAAACCAGTGTGCACCAATTAAACATTAGCCAGTTTGATCAAGCCATATATATTGTTAACTTAAAACTGGCTTTAGAACCATTGAACCACGAAACCGGCCTGTTTGTCCATGAGCCAGTTCATTGTTTTAACATTGAAAAAAGGCTTGAAGCTGGCTGTGAAGGAATCCAACTTGTCTTTTTGTGATACATGGCAAGCCATTCTACCACTAATCCAGTACACATGTACATGCTTTATTTTTGTATATATATGATAAACTTCATTTCAATCGCACAGAGGTTCACCTACCATTACATCATTAAACCATGAATTGGTAAAAGTACCAATTCAATGAATGGTCTAGTTTAAAAATATTAGCAAAAACATAGAGAGACATGATATGGTGGGGGTCAAGATCAACAATAGACACTTTATTATAATTGGAGCAAAACCATTATTGCAGCACACACTCTCATTAGTGCCACACTGAACAAGGCCAATACTGTATATACTGAGTTTCACGATTTGGTTCCAAATTCAGTCCAACAAAATTACCGATATATATGATATGGTGGAGGACAAGATCAACAAAATCAAAAAGTTACCTGCACAAAAACAGTGCCATCAGTATAAGCATGGGGATTAATAGCCCGTGTAGTTCGCTGGCCACATATGGTACAAGTAAAAGCCACCAACATCCTTCTCCTGGGGGATTTTGTGAAGAGAGACCATGGGAAAGTGGATATGTTCTCCGTCCCCGATTCGCTATCCCTACCAACTGCAGGAACAGAGGGCCCTTCCATCCCTGAACCTGTGGTCCATCCTCTACCCGTGGCAGCACTCAGCACCAGCCCCATTGCAGCATCCTGACCCCATAAAATTCTTATTAGAATTCAATAACTTTCATTAACCAAAAACCAAAACTTTTCTTCCATTACATCTGATACAAGGCAAATAACCCATTTAGGTATCCATGTGTTGAGGTTCAGATTTTGAGAAAAGGAATAACACAGTTGAATATTTTCACGACAACAAAATCAATTCTTATTTCTTTTTTAATCGACCCTTTGAAATTTCAGCTATTTTAGGGTTGGAAATGCACGGAGGCATAATTTTGGGAAAAGGAATAACACAATTGAAAATTTGTTTTTGACCAAAAAAAACCTAGAAAAACAAGAACAAATTCCAGGCATCAATTACAAGAAATGCAATTGACCCTTCGAAATTAGAGATAAGTTACGCGCAGAAATGGATTGAAGTTGAAATTTTGGGAAAGGAAAAAGCGTACTTTGGAGAGAGGAGAAAGGGAAAGGCTGCGATCACTGAGAATAGGAAGATTATTGTTGTCGTTGGAGTCCGAATCGCGAGCATCATCACCTGAAAGAAATCAGAAAATTGAAGAAATCTGATGCAAAAAGGAAAAGGGGAAGTGAATAGAAGAGAATACGCACGCTTGGAGGGTAAGCGAAATTGGAGAGTCTTGGGAGAAAGGGGTATTCGTGTGGAAGGGAAGATTGAAAAGGGAGAAGAGGAAGAAGGAAGAGTTGCAGAAGAAGATGAGGCCAACGTTTCCATTCTTGTTTTCTTCTCAATCAAACCAAACTCTTTCTATCTCTAATTTCTAATACCACAACATATCCTCACTCTCACAGTAACACCACAAATAATAATTAAATATATAAAAATATCACACTCACAATTCTTGTCAAAAGAATAAAAAAATACTTAATATAATTTTTCTAGACCACTCATATCTATCTATAACATTAATAAATAAAAATATTCTGATTTAGTATTTATCATAAAAATTAACAAATTTATCATATATTTTGATTTGTGATTAAATGAAATGGTAAAATTATTTTATACATAATGCATAACTATTTTCTCATAATTATTTAATAAAAATATTTGTTAAACTTAACTTAATTAAAGAATGTGAAACTACATTTTTGCGTCTGTATAGTGGTTTTTTTAGTTTGAAAGTTGAACAGTTGTAATAGATTTTAAGATCAAAGGTTACGACTATTCTGGTTTGTTGTTGTTTTAATTGGGTTTAGGATGCTTCTTTGAATGTATCTTAATAGTTGTAGATACCAAACTATAGCAAGAGAATTAAAACATAGGGTACCAAATACCTTCTTCAAAATTTGATGTTCAAATAATAGAACTGTAACATAAAATCAAACTTTTCCACTGTGGACGACTAAACCATTCAAGAAGTAATGAAATGATAGTTGTTTACACGTCATGAGATTCTTTGCAATTTCGTGACGGATTTCGCATAATTTATCATTGTCCTTATTTTTATTAACAATTAAAGACAGAACGATAAAAATAATTTATTTTAAGACAACTGATTATAAAATAAGAAAAATTTATTTTATTTTTTTATCTAAAAAATTTGCTTTTAAGTAAAAAGAGTAAATTTTGATTTTAACAAAATTGCATCAATAATAGTCATACTTAAATGTTTTTAATTGTAAAAGTATTTTTTATCCATATAAAATTTAAAACTATATTTTTAGTTTATATTATTACATTATATTTATAATTACTTATGTATTTATTATAATGTATGTGATTATTACATACAATACCTATAACTATGTATGACATTATGTTAGTGTGAAATTTTAAAAAAATTTACAAATTCTTAGAATAAATATTATTTATTTATAATAAAATAATATTTATAAACCAAAAAATAATGACTTTGAATTTTATAAGTCAAAAAATTAGAGGTAATAAAACTTGCAAAACCAAAATCTAAAATTTATCATTTTATAAAATAAAAAATAATGTTTACAAGTTTTAGAAAATGTAAAACAATTTAAGCCTAATATTAAAGAATTAATCACCTATATACTGTCAATGTAAATTTTTTTTACATTGACAACCAATCATATCTTTTAATAGTGTCATATCAGTTACTTATTTAATGAAATAATAATAAAATAAATAACTTTAAAAGATATCATTAATTGTCGGTGTAAAAAAACTTTACACTGAGAATGTATAGATGATTAACTCAATATTAAATATTAAACTTTTCAATAAAAAAGTATACTTTTAATTCTTTAATCAACATCAATTAAAAACATACCAATTACAAAGGACACTAATCAACATTGGTTCAAAAAAAGACACTAATTAACATTAAAATAAGTTTTAATAAAATCAAAATCTCACATATTACATACTAATGGAGAAAAAAATGAAATTTATTCTTTGGCAAACATGTATACAGGTTGTTTAGGTGCACATCTAGAAATGCCAATATATCGGAAAGTTTAACAAGCAACAATTCTTACGGTAATGTACAATTTCCTCATAAATCAGATAAATAACTTCCAAACACCTAAGATTTACTTAAACATCTCAACTTAAGAGGTGAAATGTTTTGAGCTGTAACTCACTTTTCCCATCATCTACGTATAACTCAGAAGAAAGAATAAATATACGTCACACATAAATAAAGCAAAAATCACTAAAAAAATGGCCACAAATAAAGGGGGGGGGGGGGGGGGGAATTGTATGTAGAATAATAATGTTTAGACAGTATGCAATATTCCGGTCTACAGTTTGTTAATCCTGTTATTTACAATTGCTAGCATTTTTAGAGGTCAAGATTTGACCGATGTGTAACTTTTAACTAACTGAACAAGTCGTCTTGGCTGATTGTATCTTCATCATTATCGTTTTCTTCATCATCGTTAGAACTGTCACTATTAGCATTGAATGTCAATATCAACTGTAGAAGGTCTCGATCTGTAGCTGAGTTTCCTCCACCGCTTTCAGTCCTAACCCTTCGCCTTGGAAGTGAAAAAAGTTGCAACATCAGATCTTCCGGAGAAGCTATCCGGTACATCCAGCCCCTAGCCTTCGGTTTCTGTCGGACACAAAATTTTCATCAATTTGCATCATTACAACCACCACCAAAATTATCATCTTTGTCATTGTCATCATTATTATCATCATCTATAGCATTGTTGTTATCATCATCACAATCATCATCGTAATCATTGATATAATCCCCATCATCACAATCATCATCTTCGTCATCATCGTCGTCGTCGTCGTCTTCATCATCATCATCATCATCATCATCATCATCATCATCATCATCATCATCATCATCATCATCATCATCATCCTCAGACATATCAACATCATATTCATCATCAAACATATCATAGCCACCGCCACCAATTGTAAACCAATGAATATGATCAAACACGAGAACCTTCTTCAAAGAAGTAACAGCAGAGAAATTAGTTCTTCTGCTGCTTACACAGTTCATGTAACGAAAATATCAATCTTTTTCTGATTTATCACTTAACAACAACAGACCAGAATCGGTGTTAAAATCTCATTCTCCTAGACTTTCCAAGATCAGCACATGAAAAAGATTTATTTTATTAGAAGTCTTTTAATCGGTTAGGTAGATAAATATTTTAAAATGTATAAAATGCTCTTAGAGAAAATCACTTGTGAGTAAATTTGTCTTTATAACATGCTTAAAATTGGGGGCATAGAGCCAATTCCCCTCAGGCAGCGTAATCAAGCCTCTGGCTTGCCAGTTTTACTCATTTTTCAGACAAATCCCACTGCCTTATATCGATGTGGCAGCACATAAGCTTGCCATAGCATCCAAATGTGAAGTGTTCCAACCAACTAAGCCAGTACTGGTTCAGAAGTTCCCTACAGTACTGCTCACACTGGTTCTCAATAAAAAACAGTTGTTAGTTCTGATAGGATAGTTATGCGTCATGTTGTGTGGCAATTATGTTTCTTTAGTAACCCTAGGACAGTAATATCATATACTGCAAGGAGAATCCTTGACAGGGCTTTGATAGTGTTCTGTACTACAACTTAAAGAATGATTCCAAAAATGCTGTCAATTAAATCTCCAGTTTGTGTGTTCAAACTCTCGAGTCTAACAAAGTCTTAACTGTGCTGATGCCAGGACAAGTTCTCAGTTGCCATGGTCAAATAGTTCAATTTCAGTCTATTATTTCAATCACTGCTCTACCAAGGATCCCCAAATGAACTTCCCTGACCAGAGAACTCAGAAAAACTGAATATTTCTTTATAAACCAAAATCATGAGCTCCAAACACATCTAATTTGGAAAATTTTATTCACCTAACAGCAGTCATATTTTAATAGTTCCTACGTAGGATTTCATATCATGCCCAGCACATTATAACATAAACATTCAGTTTCGCTCCTTGACCAACATATCCCTTTAATAAATCACACTTCGTATATCACTCTTCTAGCACACATTCCTCTTCTCAGCAAAAATTACAAGGCAATAATTGAAGTATATAATAAGCATCAAAAAGTACAACTTTGACCTCAACAACATATCACATGGGTTATATTAATCCAGGATTCAAATCATGAATCAAATCATTTAGTGAATTGTTCAAGATCAATAATTAAAAACACCATAAGTATTTTTAACATATAAAACAATTAAGAACATGTATTGGAAATTTAAAGTCAAATAGCTCATTATATAGCTAAGCAAATTGAAATATATACTTTCACATAGACCAAGACTCAACTCATATAAGTCACCAGCATAAAAAGTGGCTACTCAAAGTCAACTGTATAACTCCTTAAAAATTCCAAAAAATTAACAATAAATGCAATTTATTTATTCATTATTTAAAAATGTAAAATGCCAAAATATCTATCTTCAAATTATTTAATTCATTTTAACTTAAAAACTTTAAACCATCATACTCATCATAATCAACTTTAGGCCCAAGTAGACCAATGAATTAATTGAATAGGTCTAATCAAACCATTCAGGCCCACTACAGAGCTCTTCCTCATTTAGGAATGTCAGTGATTAAGTGCTTTCCTTTCCATTCATGTAGTGTAATTATGCGTTGTTCAGGTTAAGGGCCTTTATTGGTCATTGCATGCAAGCTAGATTATGTCCCTTGGGTATTTGGATGCCATACTTTTTTGGATCCAAAAAAAAGAAAAACCAATTAAAATTGAAATGTTGACATAACAACATAAGTGAAACCTAAATGATGATGTCATTCTTCATTGTAAAGCTTAGCTTCAACACTGTAACTCTGTCTCACGTGCCAATATTTAGTTATTTCCAAGTTTCTGCCTTCAAGAGCAGAGAGAAGGCCAAAAAATGTGATTTTATAGGGTTTCCCTTAACCAGGTTCGTCAGGAGTTAGGAAGTCAGTTAGAACGGTTATTGCAGTTAGTTAGAACAAGGGTTAGACAGTTAAAGGGGATTTGAGAGGTAAATAAATATATAGGAGGAGGAGGTAAGTGAAGAGGCACTCTATCTTGTATCATTTGAGAATTGAGCTTTGCTCTTTGTGAAGGAAAAAGAGAAATCCTTTCTAAAGGGGAAACCCTGGGATGAAATATTATCTATCTTATTTTCAATTATTTTGCAATCAATAAATACCATCTTTCTTTTCGTTCTTCTATTTTCTAATTTTGGTAACAAATTGGTCTAACTTGCCGAATGGATCCAACCAGATTGAAGAATCCCCATACCCAAAACCCATGCAATAGTCACAGCAAGAACGTGACCTGGTTTGAGGGGAAGTTGAGGACCTGGGTTTCAAAAACTTAGACTCGGTTTTGAGGTTGAGAAGGTGGTAGAGGAGATCATGGTGGAAGAGGCTGAAGATTCCCAGCAGAAAATGGGGGAACAAGAAGGTGATTTTGCGTTTGTCTTCAAAGTATCCCATTCTCAGGTAGTAAATGTCTTCGAGGTTGAGAGTGATAATATAACTTCTTTATGAAACCTACAGCCATGGTTTATTTGCGGGCAGTAGCACCCAAGATGATTGACAGCTTCAAGGTCATGGAAAACACTAGAGACAGGAAGGCAACTTACAAACGTGTTAGAACTAGGAACTTTTTCCTCGATCACACTTAATGCAACGAACTTTTCTTGGTCACCTTGAAATTTTACCATTTCTAGACCCGTAGATTTGGACCATAGAAGCTATATTCTACAAGATATGAAGTGAGCGAATTGGGACAGGACAAAGAGGAATAACTATAGCACTGACTGAGTGTGGCAGAAGAAATGGAAACTAGGATTATGTGGAGACTAATTGCCCCAACACTAGCATCGGAGCTGCCAGACACGAGCTCACATGTGACCAGCAATGGGTCATCATCAGCAGAGCCAGTCTCTCTGACGGAGAGGGATGGGTCTTCTATGATGACGGAGCTAAGGATCTTGGGTATCTCAGCCAAACTGCCAGACACCAGCCTACTTGTAACAGCTAGTGAATCATCATAGGATTTGGTCTAGTCAACATAGTTACCAAAGGCGAACTTAACAAAGATGCATCATTCTTGTACTGATTCAGGGAAAAAGCAAAAGGAATGGGGCAGAATTGACATTCTGCAAAGTGGGTCTCATTATTGATGCAGTGGACTTAACAACACAACATGCAATTTTTGTGATTCAAACAATTTACCTACAAAACTCAGTCAGTATTCGAGAGACCCTATTCAGGACCAAAAATGACTCGGCATTCAAT